TATGCTCTCCCGCAGCACAGGCCTGGCCTGGTCCCCCGCCGCCAGCCAGCGCCACAGAGCCGCTACTCACCGCTTCTTGGGGATGGTGCCTGACTCCTGCGCGGCGGGAGTGGCAGTGGGCGCCGCCGTGGCAGCCGACGCGGCTCTCCGCGCTTTGCACTCATTGGTACTCACAGCCTCCTGGGGCCGGCCCAGCAGATGGCCGGAGAGAACCCGGAGCCTCCGCCCAGCGCGGTCCCGATCCGGGTCCGGGTCTCGGTCCCTGTCCGCTGCAGAGCAGCAGCTTGTGCCCACGCCGGTCCCGCCCGCTGCAGCCGCCGCCTCCGCCATGGCTTCCGCCTTGTGCCGCCGCCCGGGACCGCTGGGCGCGGGTGAAAGGTCAGTCAGAGCGGCGCCCGGCGCGACCATTCGCTGCGGCGCATCCCGGCAGCCACCGCGGCGACTGGGCGGCGGGTGCCATGCGCCGGGCGCTTCACATTCTCTGCTCCCGCCCACACATCGGCCCGCCCTCCGCGGTCACGCCTCGGAAGGCGAGCACCTGCCAAGCAGGTGAGTTTGACCTGACCCCGGATTGGCCCAGACTGGGCTGGGCTGGACCAGAATCCAAACCTCAAGTGGCCCTGAGGTGTCCGAATACCCTGGGTGGTGTCCTTGGGTGTCGCCTGGGCCTTCGGAGTAGTTTTCTGGGACAGACGCCTCGGACCAGGGTGCTACTGGACCTGACAACTTAAGGAGCGCCATCCTTTTACTGAAGGAGCTCCTACTGCTCCCCTGTGTCCCCCTCCCAGCGGCGTCAGTAAAGTAACTCAAAACTGACTCGTTGCTTGTAACCATTAGAGCAAATAGCTATCATTTTCTCATCGCCTACTTCGTGCCTAGAAATTCTCAAGTAATTTCTGTTTTACAGTTGGAAAAACTGAGGCTCAGAACTTGCCTGAGGTCATAAAGCTGAGTTGCACCTGAGAGTCTCTTTCCATTCATTACTGAATGCTGCTCCCGTATTTATCTTATTGGGGGTAAAGGTTTTATTGCTACGGGTAGTATTACCTAACAGCTGTTTTTAGAACTTGTCACTTGTCTACAATTTAACTTAATGGAGAATGGCACTTGGTGAAAATATGGAGATCTCAAAGAGCAATGCTCCACAACCATCTTTAGCCAGTGGATTAGGTAGGCTTAGAGCCAACCATTAGGAATAAAATTCCTTATTGCATAATGTGCGATTCAAAGATGAGTTGGGAATGGTAAGAGAAAACGTTGTCATCAGCTTTCCAAGCCCAATAAAGTCCCCCTTTTTCCAAATAACCACCTTCTTTATAACACAGACTCTATGAAAGACATTCCAGGAGTTATTTGACTAATACAAAAGAACTATTTGATAGTTATGAGAAAACTCAGGCAACAATGAGAAGGACTTGATTTGAATGCCAGCACTCCAGATCTTAAAAGATAGTTCAGCGTTAAATATCCAGTCTAGCTCTAAAATCACTGAGCCCGACTCCTGTTTAGCTGCTCCGTCTCTCCATTGGCTATTTCAGCTAGGAGCTAAGAAAACGGGCAGGAGTGGTAAATTGCTGAGTGCCCTAAAGAGAGAGCCTCCTGAAGTCTGAGAGTTTAGCCACTTTAATCCTCCAGCTTCTCTCACCCTTTCTAGATGTTACTAGAATAGCATTGAAATACCAACTAGTGTATTTGCTTGCAATATTCATATTTTTCTTAACCAAATGCTATTAAAAGCAACAACTTTTTCAGAATTTTTTTGGAATGAGACTGGCCTATTGATTTTTGCCTGACTCTCAGAGAGTTTAGTCTAACACTAGTGAATAGTTAACAGATCTCTTCAATGTTGTCCAAATTAAGGTATGAATATGCTTCTCACCAGCTCTCAGGAGGCAAAATTTATAAATTTTGCATATATCAACGGAATAACAAAAAGCCTTTTCTCTTGAGTAATGAAAAGGTTGATGTAAACCAAAATTACATACCAGTGGAAAAACTACTGACTTTTTTTCAAATATGTATACGGTGATACAGGTAGTAACAGCATTTGTTGAGAGTCTATTATGTACCTAATTCGTTACTATGTGCTATGAGATGCAAAGTATGTAAGTCAATGCCTCATCTACAAGGCATCACCAGGCTAATTAGGAATTGGGATATATGTGGGGGGAAAACTGTATGATACTCTTCAATGAAATAAGCGTCATGTGAGTGACCTTGGTGAAGTATTTTCTATGCCCTCTCCTTACAAGAGCAAAGCCCAAGGAGAGTGCCTTAAAATAAATTTTAAGGAAGGACTGTTTTTTTTTTTTAAATTTTAATGTTTTTTATTTATTTCTGAGAGAGAGAGAGAGAGAGAGAGACAGCGTGAGCAGAGGAGGGTCAGAGAGAGAGGGAGACACAGAATCTGAAACAGGCTCCAGGCTCTGAGCTAGCTGTCGGCACAGAGCCCGACGCGGGGCTCGAACCCACGAGCCGTGAGATCATGACCTGAACCAAAGTAGGATGCTCAACCGACTGAGCCACCCAGGCGCCCCAAGGAAAGACTGTTTCAAATGAAGGATGGTCCATCAAGATGCTTGTGATTCCCACAAAAAGCAATATTTCAGTGAATATAACAGTCAGGAGGGCCATCTCAACACACCTGTTCCTCCTGAGTCCTGACTTAGCCCTTAATAACCTGGATCCCAGTGGAGAGCAGACCACATGCACACAGTGAACCCATGAACATGAGGAATTTTAAATGGAGTGGCTTATATTTGCATTTATGTCATCTCCTCTAATATGAGGCAGGAAAAAAGTCTAAGGAGGATAGATTAGCACCTGACATGTACCAGATTTCTTTACTACACTGATTTGCATTACTTCCCTACAGAGCTGCTAAGTTATCCCCAAATTAAGGAATTCTTACATTTGTGTATATTTTTATTATAAAATATAACATCAAAGTGAATCAAAGCATAAATTATCACAGGTTGAACACCCATGTAACTTCCATCTAGTTCAAGAAATAGAACATTTCCAGTAACCTGGAAATCCCCTTTCTGCCCTCTCTTGATCCCTTTACCCTCCCTACCTGCCAAAGGTAAGCACCATCCTGAATTTTATAGTGAATATTTCCTTCTTTTTCTTTATGGTTCTAACAATTAGGCACACATCCCTTACTTGTTTTTTGAATTTGTATAATCTTGCAGTATGTTCTTTTGTGTCTGGCTTCTTTCACTCAGCATTTTGTTTGTAATATTCATCCACATTATTGTGTGTAGTTGTAGTGCATTCATTTTCTTTACCACATAGTATTCCTTGAAATATATATACCATATATACCAGAGTTTATTCTATAATTAATGCATGTTCAAGATGTTTCCAGTTTGGGACTATTGTGAATAAGGTTGCTATGAACACTTTTGCATATGTCTCTAGGTGGACATGTAGATGAATTTCTTTTAAGTATCCATATAAGAGTAGCATTACTAGGTCACCAAGTATACATCTGTTTAATAGATGATGAAATGCCAACTGTATTCCAAAGGGATTGTACAAAATCTACCCCAGCAGCATATGAGAATTGCCATTGTCTACTATATGCTATTGTCAGTCTAGTTTTAGCTATTATATAGCATTATCTTAATTGTGGTTCTAATTTACATCTCACTGATTACTAATGAGATCAAGGGGGGTTTTCTATGTTTGTTGACCATTTGCATATCACCATTTGTGAATGTGTAATGAAGATACATCTCCTAAATTGCCTTCTAGAATCCTGTTATTTTTCCTTTTACATTTATACCTGTAGTTTACCTGGAATTGATTTTTATTTATGAGGTAGAGATGAGATTTCTAGGGTCTTTTTTTCCATAACAGTATCCAACTATTTTAGCACCACTTGTTGAAAAGGTCTTGTTCTACATTACCATCTTTGTCATAAGCCACATGTCCGTATTACATTAGTCTATTTCTGGGCCCTGTATTTTATTCCATTGATGTATTTATCTTACGCTAATATCACACTGTCTTAACTATCATATATTCTTTTAGATCTTCTACATATGATTATATCATTTGTGAATGACACTAGTTGATTTCTTCAGTTGATTTCTTTCCAATCCTATACCTTATATGTCTTTGTCTTGCCTTACACCAGCTGGCTAGGACCTCAAGTACAATGCTGAATAGAAGTTGTGAGAGTAGCATCTTTATCTTGTTCCTCATTTCAAAGGGAAATGTGTCAACATTTCATGATTGTTCGAAGTGGTTTGCTGGTCTTTTTTTTTTTTTAACCTTTTAGCAGATTAAGGAATTCCTCTTCGAATCCTAGTTTGTTGAGACTTTTTGTTGTGGGTGGATATTGAGTTTTGTTAGATATTTTTTCTACATCTGTCGAGACGATCAAATGATTTTTCTCTTTTATTCTGTTAGTATAGTAGATTATATGGTTAGGTTTCCACTGTCAACCAAACTTGCAGTGCTAGCATAAATCCAAGCTAATCATGAGGTATAGCCCTTTTTATATACTACTGATTACTGAGTAGTAAAATTTTGTTAAGATTTTGTATATAGTACAGTTGGTCGATTGTTTTTCTAATAGGAACATGTCATCTTTTGCGGGACTCGTGAAACCAGGTTCCTTTGTTTTCTAAGTCTCAGGAAGAGTTTGTATAAAATTGGTCATTATTTCTTCTTAATGTTCATTAGAATTCACTAAAGAAATGGCCTGAACCTAGAGTTTTCTTTATGGGAAGATTCTTATTTATAGATTAAATAGTTTGTTATTCAGATTTTCTAGTTCCACTTGTTTCCATTTTTGACAGTGTTTTTCTAGAAAATTACATTTTCAAATGTATTGACACAGTTTTTATAGTATGTCCTATTACCATTTTAATGGCTATAAGATCTTTAGTAATGTCCCACTTTTCATTCCCAACATTAGTTACTTTGCTATTTCTTTTTTTTTCCAGTTTGCCAGGCATTAATCAATTTTATTACTTTTTTAAAGGACCAGCTTTATGCAGTGTCAGCATTGTAGCCAATGAGGTTTATCCGAAGTGTGATTATTGCTAATTGAAAATTTTTCCCAATTTTTAAGGGACCAACTTTTGATGTTGATCCTATTATATGTTTGTTTTCTCTTTTATTAACTTCTGCCAATATTCCTTGTTGTTTCCTATCCGCTTTATTTTTCCTTTTATTTTTTTAATTTCTTGAAGTGAATGCCTAACTCCTTGATTTTTCACTTTTTTTGTATGTTTTCTAATATATGTGTTTAAGGCTATACATTTTTCTCTAAGTAATTAATTTCATTCATGTTTTGATAACAGTATTTTCCTTATTATTTTGCTCCAAAGAGTTTTCATTTGTATTTGAAAAGAATAATTTATATTTGCTCTTGTTTTGGGGTACTTGTTTCCCAAATACAGATTTGACCTAATCATTTGTATTGTTCAAATCTTTGATATACTAACTGGTATTTTGTCTACTTATTTTTATCAGTTATTGAAGTATGTTAAAATCTTTCACTATTATTATGGATTTATCTAATTATCCTTGTACTGCTAATCTTTGCTTTCTGCACTTCAAAACTATATATTAGACATGTCAAAATTATATTTTCCTGATGAATTGAATATTTATCAGATATCCCTTTTTGTTTCTAATAATGATTTTTGTCTTAAACTTTAGCTACATCAGCATGTGTATATGATCCTATCCTTTAATTTTTTTTTTAAAGTTTGTTCATTTATTCTAAGAGATAGAGAGAGACAGAGTGCATGAGGGAAGGAGAGGCAGAAAGAGAGAATTCCAAGCAGGTCCCACAGGAGGAGAGGCAGAAAGACAGAAAGAGAGAATTCCAGGCAGGCCCCACACTGTCACACAGAGCCCAACACAGGGCTCAAACTCACAAACTGTGAGATCATGACCTGAGTTGACGCTAAGAGCTGGGCACTTAACAGACCGAGCCTCCCAGGTGCCCCCCCATCCTTTAACTTTTAATCTTTCTGTATCCATATATATTTAAATATGTCTCTTACAAATAGATTAGGTGATTTCTTTTAAGCAGTCTGAGTATAAAATATTGGGTCATTTAGCCTACTTAAGTTTAACTGACTTACTAATATATTTGGTATAATGGCTGAGAGCACTAGCCTCACTGCCAGACAGACTTGGGTTTGAATGTTGGCTCTGACATTGACCAGATACATTGTCTTGAGCTTGTCATATTAATATCTCTGGGCTTGGCTCCTCATCTATAAAACTGGGACGGTAATGACTACTTTCTAGGGTTATTAAAGGATTAATGAGCAAAAATATAGTAAATCTTAATTGCTATCATAGAAGTGAAAGTAAGGCTAGTATGAGAGTCTTCCTAGAAAAGATAAAAGGTGTTAGAGGGAGAAGAAATAAGGTTGAATGGGTAATGTGAGACCAAATCATCAGAGCATTGAAAACTTAGTAGAAGAGGGGCGCCTGGGTGGCTTAGTCAGTTAAGCATCCGACTTTCACTTAGGTCATGATCTCGCGGTTTGTGGGTTCGAGCCCCGCGTCGGGCTCTGTGCTGACTGCCAGCTCAGAGCCTGGAGCCTGTTTCAGTCTGTGACTCCCTCTCTCTCTGACCCTCCCCTGCTCACGCTGTCTCTCTCTCTCCTGAAATAAAAAAAAAAAAAAAAAAAAGATGAGAGAAAGAGAAGTATGAAGTGAGATGCAATTTAAAATAGATATAAAGATTCACAGGAAGCATCCTTCAATTATATATATTAGAGGAAGAGAGAGGAAAATCTCATACATAACTCCCCAAAACAGGGAGGGAAAAGTGATTACAATTGACCATGTTGTTTTTCTTTTTAGTGGTTTCTAGGTGGAGGTTGTTTTATCCCCAAATCTTAAAATAATTTAGTGAGCTACAGCAGTGGCTTTGGTAAAGTAGAATAGAAAGCAAACATTGGATGAGGGATGGAAATGGCCGATGTGTATTTTAATTGCTGATTATATTTAGCATGAGGGTCTGATGTTATACAGTTGGCAATACTAGAGAGAGAAAGAAACTTGCTTTTTTTTTTTTTTTGAAAGAAACTTGCTTTTATAGAAATAACTCAAAACACTAAGTGAGGAGACCTGGATTGGAGCTCTCTCTAATTGTACTGGTTGTGCCCTCTTCTTTTCCTTACCTTTGTTCACAGTACTTAACCTTTTGGGCAGAGATTTTAATCTTGTTTCCCTGTTGGGCTATTGTAAAAGTCGGATGAAGTAATGCAAATAAACGTACTGTTGAAAGTTAATAGTCCTATAAAAATATCAGTATTCCTAAGGACATATTGTTATTTTTCATCCTATTTTACCCCATGGAAGATAAACAAAGCATCCTAAAAAACTAGCAAAAGACTATTAACACTAGAAAGAAGAAAAAGGACAATCCCAGTTTACTTTAGTTTTGATATGCATAAAAATACTAAAACTGGGCACCTGGGTGGCTTAGTCCATTAAGCATTTGACTTTGGCTCAGGTCATGATGTCATAGTCCGTGAGTTGGGAGTCCCCCATCTGGTGAGCTCAAGCCCCACATCTGTTGAGCAGGAGCTCCACTTCTGGTGAACATGAGCCCCACTTCCCACACGCGTGCACTCTCTCCCCCCTCTTCTCTGCCCCTCCTGGGATTCTCATTCTCTCTCTCTCTCTCTCTCTCTCTCTCCCCCTCCCCCCTTCCTCTCTCTGCCCCTCTCTCACTTGTGCCCTCTCTCTCTCAAAAAAAATACTAAAATCAATAAAATAATATATTAACCCATTAGAAAAGTACCAATTCCTTGCTCAAATAGCTATTTAAATAGCTTCTTCAAGAGAAATGACACTAAATAGGTTCATTTTATAGCATAACAACAGACTATCCAAATAAGAGAAAAATAACAGGTAAGTCTGCTTCAGCCACAGTTCAAATGCTCACAAATATTTAATATGATTGTAGGAAAATTAATAAAACTTTATATTCTATTTCACATTCCCTTTCTCAGCCTATGACTAATAATTGCTAATTGGTTTAGGCAAAGCTTTTGGGTTTAGCCTTAATCTAGAGTGTTAGAGTATCTAGAGTGCTAAATGAAAAAAAAAAAAAAACATTTTTTTAACATTTGTTTTTGAGAGACAGAGTGCAAGTTGGGGAGGAGCAGAGAGAGGGAGACAGAATCAGAAGTAGACTCCATGCTCTGAGCTGTCAGCACAGAGCCCAATGTGGGACTCAAACTCATCAACCATGAGATCATGACCTAAGCTGAAGTCACACATTTAACCGACTGAGCCACCCAGGCACCCTAAATGGAAAATATAATATAAAGTATTTTTTAAGTTGAAGATTCCATACAATTGTAAAGTGTACACACACACACACACACACACACACACACACCAAGTATATTGATAAAACTGTCTACATTGAATCTGGATTCCTTCATTCTCTCCTAGAACTAATTAGATGACCATTCCAGTTTGGTAGTTCTACATCTGGTTCTGGTGCCCGGCTGAAAGTTGGTCCAACACCAAACAACCATTTGGCATTTTCCAGAGGTCTATGGAATGTTCTACATTTTTCCCTTGGGCAGAAGAGAGAAAAAGAATGTGAATTGCAAGGATCTGCCACTTTGGAAATTTAGATAGTTGGAGGTTTCCCAAAGTAGATTCTGTAGGATGCTAGTTCTTCTAGGGACAGAGCTTGTTACTATAGTTCTCCTGTCATAAATTTGGGAAATATTCCCACTATAATTCTGCTGCCTTGAAAAATCACATTGCCCATTTACTTATTCTGAAATTCTTTGGAACTTTGTATAATACAGTGTGTTTGTTTATACATAGAATGATTTCCCCCCTAACACCTATTTATATTCCTTTGGGATACATTGGCTTAATTTTAAGATCCTACTGAGTTAAGTGCTCAAGAAATGAATAACCAAGGCCAGCACCCAAAGAACAGTGATCACTCATGAATCATTTGTTGAATGGTGGCCCCACATGGTCAATCTGAAGTTTAATTATTAATGTCTTGGATAAAGGTTATGGGAGCATATCCTTAACATTTGAATAAGAGACTGAAGCTTAATCTATGTAATAAAACCTTTTTCTCTTAGCCATAAGTTCAATCAGTTGTGCATAATTGAGCCTAGACCTAGAAGCTTACTGCACACATTCACATGTACACATATAAATTCAGTGTTTCTAAACGTGGAAGCCATAATCAAGATGGGTGACCAAGGTCTGTGAGCATGCTAATTCCCTGGATGAAAGAATGAGAATTAAAGATGATACACAAATGGTAGAATAGAAGAAGCAATGAGTCTAGTACTTCTTAGTTAAGATGAAGGGAGGGTAGGGGTACAGATTTATAAGAATATTGGAAAAAGGAAAGGAAGGAACTTATAATATCTCAGCACATGGAAAGAACCAAGAACTTCCAAAGGTACTCCTGTATTTCTCATTTGAGAAGATGATAGGAGAGGTATCATCTCCTTTTTTTTTAAGTATATATATGGTGGAGGATGAGATATTAACAGCTCTGCCCTTGATATTTAACTTGAATTGGCAACAACATTATAGACATAATGGGGTTCAGAATTGAACAAAATGTCATATTTGTATAAAATGGGAAGATTTTATAAGTAAATTTTATGAACTTAGGTATAAATTTCCTACCCCTGATTTCATGAATAATCCTCATTATCCTCTTTCAGCTTTTTTTTAATCCAGGAAAGAGCCATCTTTGTACATTTTTCCACTTTTTTTAGAAAGTGACCTTCCCGGACTGCGTCTTTGGCATGCTCTTATTGGGTGTAAGCATGCTGGGGCTGTTCAACAAACAATGAAAAAGAAGCTTAGATGAAAAGTGCAAAGTTGTAAAGTTAATAAGATTCAGTTCAGGACTCTGAACGCTGGAGTTTCCAGCAAAGCCAGACCACACTTGCATCACTTTTAAACTGTGTCTTGGGCTTTAAAACATACTGGTTTTGTTTTGTTAATTTACTCAGGAGTTCTGTTAAGTATTAACTTATGGTGCCAGCAGATTTCATTGTACTTCATGAATTATCATGGATATACCAAGTATTTTGAAGACGTATCTGGTCAAGACATGTTTTGCTCTATTACCTCTCCCCTGGCTGGGGAG